TCAGCCGCTCTACCTGTGGAGAGAAAACATTTTGGATACCAGTCAGGGCAGTTTTCCAGCTCTGGCACATCCCAATAGCCAACTTGTTAAATGGAAAAAATAACAGCTCTCTTTTCTCACTTATGCCCCATTCCCAGATTCAGTGAGCCAAATTAGAGTAAAATCACAAGAAGATATGATGAATTCTGAGATGGAATAGGTGGGGAAAAAACCTTAATCACACCACAGAACCAGAATTCAGCCATAGAAGAGCCATTTCTCCTACCTTTCCTTGAAGAACCAGCAGTGGCCACAAGCAATCAAAACATTCTGGGCTAGGGGTGCAACTTAGTGGAAGAGTGCTTCCTAGCATGCAGAGGCCCTGTACTCCATCACCAGAACCTCAAAACTCTCAAGCTAGTGAGTTATGTGGGCCTCAGAAGTAAGTAGCCTTATGGGGGGATACAGATAAGTAAGCAATCAACAGCAATAAAACAGGCCAGGCATGTGGTGCATGCCTGTAGTCCCAGTTACTCAGGAAGCTAAGATGGAAGAATCACTTGAGCCCAATTCTAGACCAGCCTGGGTAACACAGTGAGAGACTCCATCTCAAAACATCAACATCACTGGCTCTTGCCTGTGAAGCCAGCTACCAAGGGGGCTGAAGCAGGCAGGATACCAAGTTCAAGGCCAGTCTGGGCAATTTAAGAGAGACCCTGTCTCAAAAAAAAAAAAAAAAAAAAAAAGGTCAAGTGTGGTGGTGCATGCCTATATGACTTGTGAGGCCAAGGCAGAAGGATCACAGGTTTGAGGGCAGCCACAGCAACCTTGTGAGGCTATCTCAAAATTAAAACTAAAAAGGACTGTGAATATAGCTCAGTGGTGGTCCAGCATCCCTGGGTTCAAATCCCAGTATATATATTAAAACAAACAAACAAAAAACCCTCAAAACCCGTTGAGGCTATAGCTCAGTGGTAGAGTGCTTACATACCATGTGCGAGGCTCTGGGTTCAATCACCAATATTGAAACAAAAATAACAAAGCCCAAAACAACACATGAAAGCTATATATTAACTTCACCTAAAAGGGCTCCAAAATAGCCATTTTCAGGGTWACCCTGAACATGCAGGCAACTTACACAGAATTCTTCTGGTTTACAAGGACCTATCCGTTAGTCAACTGTGGGGAAATTAGAGTCCACTCACCTGTTCAGGCTTTAGGCCTGTGAAACAAAACATGCCGATCTGGTC